TGGCCTTGGTTCGTGTCCAGGTTGCCTTGGAGAGTAATAAATAGGACTCCACTGAGCATCCATCTCATTGTATCTCTGCTGTTGTCCCAACCCCAGACGAGGAATGTTAAGGCGATGCAAGTTAATGTGAGGTATCTGCATCTCAGCATTTCTCTGGTTATGGAGGCAGCACTCATGATTCATGTGGTGAAAGTAGTGCTCCCCTATGTGAATGTCATCCAACCCAAAATCGCCATGGTTCTTATATTCTGGGGAATCACTGAGATTGTTATTCAAGGCCTCCACATACCTTCTTTCAATTTCCCTTGCATCCCCATCACTAAAATGCAGCAACCCATCCTGATCAAAATGAGAGAAAAGAAAGATCCTTAACTTTGTGAAGGCATGACGTGGCCCAAGCTTATCGTATTCTTCCATCATATTGATCACATCATCATCATTAAAGACAGAGACCAATGCATCAAGATCCTCATTAGGTTGCTGATACTTGCAAACAGTAGCCCCTTCAAAGAGCTCCCTCATCTTCGCCATGAGCTGTTCATAACTAATATCCCTGTTAACAATAGCTATCCGGGTCTCACCACCCACATACCTAAGCTTCCCATCATGAGGTCTGGGCAGTATGCTGCCTCCATAACTGCACAACAGCCTAATGCGAGGATTTTCTTCATTAGAATTTGCCATTTCCGAGCCAGACGTCACTGTACTGTCATTACTATCCATAAGGTATAATAACTTTACCGCCTCCTGCAGCTAAATTGAGCTCTAATACACCAATATTGGTTCCCCGCCCTTATTATAACACATCATCTGCAGTCACAACAGCCATAGTCCAGTTCAATAGCGCTAGGTCGCAAAGCAGCTTTTTGGAAACCTTCTAACCAAAATGCTGAGAAAACTCCTCCGAAACTGGGCAGTTTAGGCCACAAAAAGCATCCAGTCGCCGGGAAAAATAACAATGATCATAACCAGCGCCTGGACCGTCACCTGATAATTATTGAAAAAGATCACAACTTTTCAGCTGATGATAACCAATCAAAACGCCAATTTTTAATCTCGGCCTAAAAAATCAAATACCAGGAGTAGCTGATGAAAAATGGCGGGGAATGCAAACCAATCCCCGAGTCCCGCCGGACAGAACACCTCAAATCCTCAACTTGGATGCTTATTTTAGTGATTGTATTTATACATATACCTAGTTTATGTATGTATACATGTATAATATACAAATACGATTTAATTAAAATATATAATCTCTCTCTGCGGGAAACCTAAACTGCAAAATAACGAATTCTTCTGGCAAGCAATTATTATGATATGTATTTGTTTATTTATGGATAATTGTATGAATTAAATATATGCATGCAGGGGAGAGGTGGAGAAAAAAGGCTAAGCTAAGAAGAAAAAACCCATGAAATTGAGGGAGAAAAGCACAAAAAGAGGGTTCTGGAGCCGACTCAGCAGAGCGTCATGGCTGGAGTGGGCGAGGTGCCAGGTGCCCTGCGGAGGGACACGTGGCGAGCTGCGTTATGCGGGAAAGAAGCATCAATTTATGAGGTTGACGGCATATTCGTCGCAGGCTGGGCGCTGTTAGCGAGGTGAGCCGTGCACCGCTGGATTCGTAACGGAATCGCGTCTCGTTAATAAATGCGTGATTGGTACACCAGTCAACCATCGTCGACTTGCTTTGGACTATGTGGGTGGATCACCCCTTACTTTGAATCAATGAATGCAAAGTAAGGGGTCTCAATTACTATTTACTACGAGTAGTATGTTTTACGCAGTACTACCTGCGTGCTTCCCGGGAATATATCAATTTTACTCTCCCAAATAGAAATGTAATGTAATCAATGTGTTTTCCCTTATATTAAGTGCTGAAATGTAATCCTTCAATTGTCCAAATTTACGCGAATGCAATTGTGCTTATGTTATCCGGATTACATTTCATTTCTCAATAGTTTATATTTACCACAATTTGGATAATTGAAATGCTAAAATTTGGAAACACAAAGATCGCATTTCAATATTGATAATATTTGAGGGACTAAAATGTGATTTTCCTTTCTAACAATTAGAACAAATGAGAGTAATATGGTTATTAAAACAAGTGAAATTGTAAGGTTGATATCAAATTAATAAATTAAAAATTAATTATAATCACTTAAATATTACTCCACCCGTCTCACTTAAAGGATCTCACGCGATTTACGATGTTTGACTGAATATAAAATTAATTGATGTCTGCCATTAATAAGATTATTTTTAATAAATAAAATTTACATATTAAGAAATTACAATAAAAGTTGTGCAATACATGATCAAGAAAAATTAAATTTGATAAAAGTTGAATATATAATGTAAAAGATTGAACAATTTATGTTGACTGGAGAATAGTGGACAAGAACATTTAAATGGGACAGAGGGAGTACTACGTATGAAATATTATTCGTTGATCGAACAGGACGGATCGTTGACCGAACCTCCGAGTCATTGATTGGCCAGATAGGTATCGTCAGGTCATTGACCGGACTGCACAAGAACTAACACCGGAGTGGGACCGAATCCACCACTAGGCGTAAGTATGCAAATTCATTATAGAGACACTGCAACATCCCCGTTTTCCAAAATCAGAAAAATTGTAAAACTCACTTCTCCAATTCATTAAACAAAACAAAGACATATCTCATTTTTTGTTTTGGAAAACGGTTTGGTAAATGCATATTTTTGTTTTTCTTTCTCCAATTTCCAGCATTTTTTTTGGTGAACATGTTTTCTGTTTCCCCTTTTCCAATTTGTCTGGTCAACGATACGATGGTCCGTGTCTTATCCGTCCAATGACCCGGAATCTCTGTTCGATCCTATCGACAACCAGGCGATCTCGGGCCAATCCCGTCAATGACTAGACCGTTCGATCTCAGTTTTTTGAAATCATTTTTGAAGTGAACAATTTTAAAAGAGTCATTAAGTTGTCAACCAATAGGGAAATGGAAAAAGAATTAGTCAAACTAATTGTTGAGATCAACCGGACCAGCCAGTTTCAGTCCCGACTTTCCTATACGTGGGACCTGATACCCTACTTGGGTTGTACTAGGTTCGATTCTGGACTATGACCATACTTTCGGTCTTTTGGTCGGTCATAGAACCGGGTGAAATTATTTTATGAACGTGTTTTTCAATTTTGAAATGAAAAACTAAAAAATGAAAACAGATAATTGGAGATAGAAAAACACGAAAATGAAAACAGAAAATTGGAGAAAGAAAACAGAAAACAAAACTGAAAAAATATCTTTGTTATTAAAGAGACCCACAATATTCCTATTTTGGAATTTCAAAACGTGTTTACTTCCATTCTTGAAACTTGTATATTTATATATGAGAAAACATATATACTCCTTAACTATATATCAAAGAACATATACCCATCTACCAATGAGCCAAAAGGATATACTTGCTTTAGCTTTAAAATTTTGGTATTTCATTGTTCCAAATAAAAGTGGAGAAGTACTCTCTAACAGATAGTTCAAGCCTTCAAGGGCATTGTAGATTGTTGTACCTTTCCCATATCACAATCAACGGACCCATAAAATTTATCAAAGGATATTTCAAACCTAAATCTCTATTAGCACAATTGTGCCAAAAACAATCATAAAAATCCATTACCATAAATTAAAGTTTACACACAAATGTGTTTTTACTTGATTTATTTCAGTCCTAGACTAGACTATATCAGATCATATTAGATCAAACCAAATCTCGACAATTGTAAACTACGTACATAGAGACCAGATATCTACTAAACTAGACCAGATCACACCAGAAAATTTCAGTCCTAATAAAAACATATTAAATTAAGTGACAAGTTTTAATATTTTGAAAATAATGCATAATTGCTTAATTGTCAATACTTCTACAAACATTTCTCTCCATTTATCAAATCAACCATTCAGTAAGAAAGTAATCAACAATCTTGTTGGGAAGATTAATCTTAATAATATTTTTCACATAGTACACAATTTCAACTGGATATTGTTGTAATTGGTAATACTAAACTCAACTTCATAATAGCCTGTTTTTCGGCTTATCAATCTTATCAGCCAACTTTTTCACCTAACAAATAATTTTTGATTTCATGAGCTGGATTGTGTAATAATAAGAAGAAGTAAGGTTGGAATTACTTTTCTGGTTGTATTGGCTGAAGTTACTGTAGATGATCATTTTAGCTATTTTTATTATAATTTTTTCTTTATTTTATTAATAAAATATATTTTATATACTCCGTATAATTTTTTTCATAAATCAGTAGAATCAGCCAATACAATCACTTCAGCCAAAATTTCATAAATATCAGCACAAACAGTCAATTCTGCCGATTGCAATGTTACCAAACAGACCATAATCTATATACCAACTGAAAGAATGGGACTCTAACTCAAATACTCAATCATCCTCTTAATTAAATCATATATACCATACAATAATACTACGTAATATATTTCATTTACTTTCATTTCATATACCCAGTACCCACACATGGAAATGTGAAATAATTATTCCTTGAGCTACATTTGCTCAACATAAAAAAAAAATATGTATATATAAATAAGCAGCACTATGTAACTTGTTTTAATTGATAGGAATGGTGACTTCTATTGTTCATGTTAATAATGGCCATATAGTTCTTAGAATGAAAGTTGTTGACGTCTCACAACTTCAAAAATAGTTTAATTTTTTGTTGTAAATGTGTGATTAAATGTCCGACTACTCAAACAGTCCAACACTTTATCCATTAAACGGGCAATATAAACAAATTGATAATTGGTTCAAAAAGAAAAACAAATTGACAATTCTCCACCTTTTATTATCAATTAAGCTACTCACAATGCCTCGAGTCTTTGAATCGATTTCATCATCGTCAAATACGGTTGTATATTGCTAAGCACTTAGATGGAAGACTAACAGTGAAACCAATTATCAATTCTCAATCAATTCTCTAGATTTCACCATTTTCTAACATCTCAACCTATTTTGATGTTGTTTTGCCGAAAGTCATCGTTTCTTTTACAAGAAAATCCAACCATGTTAGTATTCAGGAACAACTACTCAAAAATCACTTATTCACTTACAAATTTGCTTGTGTAGCTCATACTGTATAGTTTTATATGATCAGTTTACAATTACAAATTCAAAAAAGTGAAGCGAATGTTCTTACAATTATGATCAGTTTACAATTATAATTTCACACTATCGTTTTTGTGGGATGATGAGTGCAGCGAGCGTTCTTACAGGAAATCTACAATTGTCCTTTGACTCCATTCCTACGGAATATAATTTTACTGGCTGCAAAACCTGTTGGAACTTCAAGTTTGTTACCACACAATACCGGTTTAAAATGAAAAATACCATGAAATCTATATGTCTCAATGAACTTTGTCAATTTTCTTTTTTTTTTTTGTCTCAAAATATTTGCCACTTTTTTAGTAATAAATTTGTGGTTCAGTTTATTTATCTCTCATGTGCACAAACTTCAATAACGCAATTTTTACATTTCTTATTTCATACTAAATGACAATGTCCAATGGAACGAAGGTAATAGATAACATCCAGGACCGTTGTAATTTTTTTCTTTAGTCTGATTAGTGATTAAGATAAAAGGAAAATAATTAACACATATGCTTTTGAATATTCAGTCCAGTTCTTTCCTTGCAAAGCTGCAAGTCACTAACAAAGGGAAGTTATGTTCCTCCCTTGACTTTCTACTTCCTCAATATCCAAGAAGTGTGTATACATGAAATCAAATAAAAGGGGGCTTTTAGAACCTTTCGAAACTCGCAGAAGCTGAGTGTGAGATTAGTTGTTGGCATTGAGAGCATCAAGTTGCTTTCTAAGTTCGTCAAGGTCATCACCAGGGCCAGTGGTCTCCGAAGCAGGATCGGTACAAAATTCATCTGCAGATGGAAGCTCATGAACAAGGCCTTCTGGGAGAAGACCTAAAGAAAACACCAATTGAGAAAATGAGTACCAATTACTCCATACACATGCATAAAAAAACAAAGTCAAATATAATAGTCTTATGCTGATCAATTTGTAAAGAATTACCTGAACTTTGGGCTTTTGCGCTATCTAGCTCACTGTCACCCTGTACACTGTAACAAGAACATATATACATATCAATAATCTTACTTTAACTTTATCTTCAATGATTTTATGAAAAAACTTTCTTTGGTACATTCTAGATCTAAAAATCTGAGGGGAATGGCCGAATGGAACTACATTCCCCCCCATTTTTTTCTTTGTCCAAAATTGGAGGAAACTCCACTCTCGTCACCTCCCATCAAACCAAACGCGCCTAAATGAACATAGTTCCTAGATTTCTCCATCCAACAAACGGGGAGGGAAATAATAGTTTTCAAGCATTACCTTATGTTCCATTCATTATCAGCATGAATGGGGGGGCAGTCTGCTACTTTTGATGCTTCCTCCTCCATCATTGCTTTTTTAGCAGCATCTCTGGCAGGCTTAGCAAGAATGAACTCCCTCTACATTATGAAATACATATTAGCCAATTATCCAAGCGAGGCTGAAATGCTGAATTGTAGACTACTTTTTTTTTCTACTTTTCTAGAAACCAAATTGTTGTGAAGAAATATTTTAAGTGGAAAGAAACTATAAGGAAAATAAGTATTTATTGATTGTATAATCCAACATTTTTTGTGTGATACCAACAAAAACAACTAAAACTGAAAAAAAAAATAAGACTATTTCAGGTATTAAAAAATCTTTTCAAGGAATTGCAAAGAAATGAAGATATAGGTTTTCTTCTACTGTATACCCCCCCAACACAGGTATATATGGAAACAAAAACTACTGTGTGCTTTCCCGTTGATCAAAGGTCGAAGAGATACTTACTTGTCGCTCCAAGCAAGCTGCATTTGAACACTGAACATTTGGTTTCATCTCCATTGTTGGAAAATAATCTTTCAGGGCATTGTATCCCTGGTAGGGAAAGAAATGAAAGGCAGAGGAAAGTTATTTTCCTATGTTTGGTTTTACCTCAGGAAAATGAAACATGAATGGTTTTTCCTAAGCTTTGGTGTATATTTGGAGTATGGACTTTTTTAGTGTTTGAATAACCAATAATAGAACTAAATACATACAATAGGTGAAAAATATGCAAAAATAGATTTAGAGTTTCAATCACTTTTCCCTCTAATATTATTTCCTTCTAATTTCCCCCTCTATTTTCCTTCTGTAGCATTTCCAGGTTCCATACGAATCTTTAGGAAAGAAACTTAAACATTTGTAGTCATAAAGTTTAGTTCAATCGAATTTCAACTTCCAAAACCGACCGAAATGTAAGCAAGGATATGGTCAAAACTCAAAACAACCAATCACAGAGGAAGTTCAGGTGTATGCAAGAAAAAGTTGATAGGTTGGAGGATTACCAGATATCGGGACACCTGTCCAAAATTTAACAAGTACTTCAGTGTGTTCTGAACCAAGAGTCCAGCAATGACTCCCTAGCAAAATCCATTGAGATGAAAAGTTTAACGAGCAGAGAAGAGAGCTGGCAGAAGTACTGAAGAGCATATTAAGAATGTCTACTGGTAATACTTGTCAAGATGTTTATCGAGTTTCTCATTCAAATTTATCTTATTCCTAATAAAATATAACTAGCTAAATATACAAGTTATACATCGGATTAACCTGCGCGTTGGGAAAATGATGAACTTTATAAAAAAGGAAAAAGTCCAAGCTCAAAATTTAATTCCTATTATTTGTCTTGGTTCCTATTAAGTGTGAATTCCACATTCAGGCAAGTTGGTCCCAAGTCTACTAATGATAGGCATTAACCAAGTTCAAGCAGCAAGCTACTCGAGAACACCTCGTACTTCTGTGCTACAGCAACTAAAATATGTTTTTCCTATCACCCCTCCTCCCGGAGGAGGGGTGAAAACAATTCAAAACTTCAGTTAGCCAAATTGAACAAGTTTAAGAGAGATACAGGAAAACTCCATACCATGGTTGTTGGCAAAGAGGCAGCACATACTCCTTCACGCTTAAGGGTGCGCTCATCAATTCCAGATGCTACTACCTAACAAGTAGAGAAGTACATTTATTGATATACACATTTACAAGTTAAACTCTTTAAAACAAACAAACAAAAACCGGGATTTGATGCAAATTCTAAAGGTAGCGTCCAAATTCCGAAGCACAAGGCTCTGACATCATACAAATATACAATGTCTACCAGAAGAACAATTGTGTTAAGTTACATTTGCGTTCAAAGAAGTGAGGTCGTTTCTAGGATTTTCATCATTCTGTTTTGCACAAACATTTATCTAGGTGGGATGGAAGGTTTAGGAGAAGGCTTTGGAGGACATAGTGTTGATAAATATGATGTGCTGTGGACTCCTTTTGGGGCAGCATGCACAACCCACGCCGAAGGGGCCCAAAAGCCAAGCAGCCAACAGCCAAGGAACGAAAGTGGCTAGACATGAAGAGAAAGGTATTGTTTCCTATTCTAGTTCCATTCGTCTTTCTGTTATGAGTTTTATTAGTTTTGCAACTCTTGTTTCCTTTTCTTTTTAGAACTCCGGCACCCTCTATATAGGTTTTTTTGTGATGGACAACTTACTGTTTTGGAGAGTTAAATTGCGTGTCTTCACAAGGTTGGACACCAATTAATTTAGCAATAAACTTAAACTTTGTCTAACTAGCACATCCTTGGGACTAGATTTTGTCATGTGTTATTACCTTGATGTTTCTAAAATGAATAAAAGTTGATTGAAATTGTATACATTCACATATGATGTTATTATCTCAAGATTTTAGATCTCAAATATGTATCAAAATGTACTGAGGCTTCACAATCCTTTCCTTTCAATATCCTCCATCCAAACAGACCCTTAATGGCTTGGACCCCATCAATTTGATAGACTTTGCGTGTATTTCAAGATCGGATGAAAATATTTATACTTTGTACATGTCAAGATAATAAAGGACCGCCTTGAACCAAACAAATTCAGTCAGAACCTTACCAAAGGAGGCACACAAGCAAAGCAAGCAGTTTCACCAGGAATTAATAATTGTATGTGGCCTGAGACAGCATTTTCAGATACACCTACCAGAAGAGAATAATCATATATGATTACACATGGTAAGAACATTTATAAACTTAAATAGCCTCAAGTCACCAGCGCCAGAACCTTACAATATGAGCTGAATTTGCCCTGCGCATGACCCAGGACTCAAGTGGAGCAGAGTCTAAGAAGAGTTCGACCAAGTCAACTTAGACTCAGCTCACATTGCAGCTTCCTCTGCAACTACTTAACACATAAGAGACAGCAGACAGACTGGAAGATATAAAAACTACCTTTCATTGATATTATTACTTTCAAGTTACATCTTCGTAATAATTTCTTAAACCTATTACAATGATTATATAGAAACACAATGGGTCAAAACCCTATAGCCTATAGGGATGAAACCCTAAGGTTTCTCAACCTAGATTTAGAATATTTCTATATTTCAACTATAAGATTAACCTAGAGCATGTGAATTATGCTCCTGATTGATATAAAACCTAGAACTTTAAACTTGAACAGGAAAGGTGATCTCCACTTGAAAAGATTATTACTTTTAACTTCACTTGAACGAAACTTCAACTTGAATTTATATTTGATTTCAATTCACTTTTCTTTTCTGTTCTTTCTGAACTTTACTATTCTCTATTTTACCGTGACTCTAAAAGTCTAATGAGCTCTAAATTACTTTAATGGACTCTACTGAGGTCTACTTTATCTAGCATAACATGACTTAACTTACTTCAATAAATTTGACCAAGAACACCATTTAACTCTTTTTGCGTTCTTTGCTTTCACCATTGTCTTTTATTCTTTCATGATAAGGATAAAAAAATCTTAATTTCAAAATCAAGTATTAATTCACAAAAAATCTCTTTAATAAAAGTCTTGGTAAATCACTATAACAACGGTAAATCGGTAATTACATGACAAATTTCTAAAATATGTATAAAAAATCAAATTCTTTCTATACCAAAGAGTCTTGTTTCAAACGCTTCTTTCATCCAAAAATCTTAATTTCAAAATCAAGTATTAATTCACAAAAATAAATTCTTTAACAAAAGTCTTGGTAAATCATTATAACGGTAAATCGGTAATTACATGACAAATTTCTAAAATATGTATAAAAAACAAATTCTCTCTATAGTCTATACCAAAGAGTCTTGTTTCAAGCACTTTTTTCAAAAATAGAAGAAAAACAAAAATGGTCCGATCATCCGACCCAGATCATGATTGCCTTCACGGCCTACTTGTTTGGATCACGTGGACCATTCAAGAACTGTGAATCAACAGAATTCAGATGCAATTCATGTAATATATACAATGATTCAAGTTCAAAAACAATACAGCAACTTGAATTATTTAGCATCAAGTTTGATTCAAATTGAGATACAACTCTTGTGATACACATGATACTAGTATACTACCATGTTGCATCATTTATAAGTAGTAGAGGTAGCATCTCCTAAATTTGTATCTTTAGATGTACAGATGTACTCCATGTCTCCATCACAATGGAGCATGGATGATATCTTTTTGCTTCTTTTCTAACTCAATAGTAAGGCGCAAGTATTTGTAGTGTGTCATTTGCATGAAACACTTCACACAAGCAAGAAATTGTATGCGGAATATTATAACAAAAAATAAATAAATAAAGCTGAGAAAAACGAATGACTTACCAGATTCCATCCAAATCTGGTTTAATTCATTGCATGCCTGTCAAACCGAGTTTTGGCTTAGCTATAGAAATTTGTACACAAAAGGGGATGACCATAATAGACCAAGACAACAACTCAATATTGAGTCCATGAATAAATTCTTCTGCGTGTGTTTGCAAGGTGTTTATAAGATACTTGTTCATACCAACCTGATTTACGACCATCCTTGCTTCGTAGTTATCTACACAGCTCAATACAAGATCTACCCCGGTACCTTCTTTATTTAGACAGAATGATTTGTTCTGGAGGCTTGACATGAACGTCTCAAAACCATCAACTGTTGTGATATTCAGTGTATAACTCTAAGAGAAGAAGAAAAAATAGTGAGATGACTTGAAAAAAGATAGCAAAGCGTTGAGTATTAGCAACCACAACTCAATTTAAGCAGTTCAAGCTTCAAAGAATATTATCAAGAATAACTATATGGCACAATAAATGTCAAAGCAAGATCCCACAGCTTTCAGGTTCAATGCAGACCGAACAAAACAAGCAACAAAACATAAAAAGACACCAGAAACGCAATCACAAGCTATATGAGTGCAAGTCAACATAAGTATTATTTTCATATGTGAAGTGGCGGGGTGAGAGGAAATAGTCCCAAAACAGAAAACAAAAAATTGCTAAATCTGTAATCCTAACCTCAAGAACAACATCAGGATTTATTTCAGCTAGGGTCTGAACAGCAGCATCTGTCTTTGTCATACCAACCTGAAAAAAATTGCAAAAGGTATTGATTGGCATTAGGCAAATATTTCTTTTACCATCAACTATGAGAAACAATAATTTATGGTACAAAGTCTATGGATAGGAAAAAACATGCATTCAAATGGGAAAATACAGTCTCCCTGTTGTAAGTTAATACTATATACAGTTTTTAAATAGTAAGTAAACCAGGATAATTTAAGATTGGAGATTAAAACTGAGATCTCTTTTATAAGAACACCTGATCGGGGCGAAAAAATAGCCTATTCATGTTAGCTAACTCCACTTTGTCATAATCATACAATAAAAGTCGACCAATGCCACACCTTGTTAGCATCTCAGCTGCAACGCTACCTACACCACCTATGCCCTGTGCAACATAACATTAGGAATAACAAAATGAATACTTGAGTGAAATCTGTGGCAATACTAAAGTGTACTGCAACGCAGAAGGTGTTTTAATAAGAAAGAGAAGTCCAGCTTAGAACCACCCATAAATCAAATCACATTCATTTAACTTCTGAAGCATTACTAAAGCAGCTAGTAATAAAAGATGAATATAGAATGTGAAAAGACCACCACTAAAGAAACAAAACTACAATAACACATATGTTAAGTCACTGAAAACACCACAACATCATCAGAAAGCAAGACCAGCATTACAGGCTCAAAGTAGTAAAACGTTTACAGAAATCAACATTCATGAAACATGTTTCTTATATATGTAAATACATGCAAACCAAAAATCAAAAGTATCAATAATAACAAAATTAACTCAGTTTAAATACTACTATGTACTGTTTAATTTGGAGTGAAAAACTGATGTCGAATGCTCGTGCCAAAAGATATTGCTTTTGTTTCTTCTAATATTAGCCACTTAGGAACTATAACGATATGCACAGAAAAATGAACAGAAGGACCTATATAATTAAAAGTTAAAACATAAAGCAAAGAGATCAAATTACATACAACTATAGCAACAGAAAAACCCCTTATCCTTTCATAGTTCTCCACAATCCCCATTCTCTGGAGTGCCATAAGCCTGCTATATGGATTGCTATCAACCACCTCAGAGCTCATATCCTACACAGAAACTCGTTCGAACTTTAGCCAATGTGCTTAATTGATTATGCAATGATAGAATAAGGCAACACAATTACCTTGACTTTGGAGCGTCTAAAAGGTCCTGACTTTGTTAGGGCATGCTCAGCACACAACCGAATCTAAATGGAATAGCCCAAAAAATAATACTATCAAACTTTCATGGCTTTAACTCAAATAATTATCTATCTCTAAAAACATATCTAGACTGCATTTCCAATTATATGTAGTAAGGTAAACATGTAAGCATTGAACACTGACATCTGAAAATGGGTATCAACTTACCTTATCAACCAACTGGAGCTGATAGGAATCAGCTAACATTTCTTTTTTGAGCGTTTCAAGATGACCAAGTAATTCTTTAATCTCTGCTTCCATTTGGCTTTTCTTTTCCCGAAACTGCAAATTCAAGTATCTTTATTCTTAAAAGACGGAATAAATTTGGGATCAAGGCTTCTGCAATCGCGCTCAGACCGATATAGTAAATTTATTAAAGTTTTCCACCAATTTTATACGGAGTAACCTTTTATGATGAGAGTCGGAGAATGCACAAAATTAAATAGTAGTCCTTTTATCCGTTCCTTGACACTTTGACTTTACTGTAGAGTACACTGTTTGGCACTGTTTGGACACTTTTTGGCACTGTTTGGCACTGTTTGGACACTGTTTAGCACTATTTGACACTGTTTTGTGTAGATTTGTTTACCAAATAAGGTAAATAAGGAATTGTAAAGAAGAATGTGGTACTGACAAAAAAGGAAAGTGTAAAGAAGAATGTGAACGGGAGAGAGTAAAATTATTTAAAAAAATATACTGTCTTAAATAATTAGCACGGTTAAATATACTGTCTTAATTAAATTGGCACTGTTATTCAGTCAATAATAATTAAATAAGTTAATTAGATTGTCTTAAAAAGTTTGTAGTATAAAGATAAATGTATTGTTTTTAATATTTAGTTGTTAAATTACTATTTAAGGTTGTTAAATGTTTTCCAAATTAGAAATGCGAACTTTTATACGATATGTCAAAAAAGAAAAGTATGAACCTTTCTACAGAACAGGTGAAATAAAAGATAAAAAATAAAGAGTAGTTCTAAATTATCCCACAAATGATCTTAACTAATGTCGTCATCCACCATCCCTCATTTATCTCTCATTTGCTTTATTCCCCATTCTCACTTAGAGAATTGGAAAAAATCATATTGGCGTGTCCATAATCTATTTTGCTTATCTACTTGGTTTTTATATACTATGTTTCGAAATTATATGTAATGCGATACAAAAGTAAAATAAATTCAGTCTAAATATAAAACTCCTCCACAAGTTTGAGCCTAATCCGAGGGGGCGTGTCTTTCTTGCAGGGATGGATTTAGGGGGGGCACGGGGGGCCGCTCCTCTTGGAAAAATTCTACCATATATATATAATATTTTCACAAAACTTTCATAATTTAATTAGATTCGCCCCCCTTAGCTTTTAATTTTCAAAATTAATATATAGTCTTACATAATGTAATACTTAATTAGATATATAAAAGAAGGAACATCTAATATAATTTACATAACTTAAACAAATAAACAATAGAATAACTCGTTGTTTAAGATTTAAGATACTTATTATATAAGAATTCCTAGTTTTGTAATGTGTAATTATCTTTATTAGATAACAAAGCAAGTACTCAATTTTGTAAAATATATACTCAGTTTTTAGATCACGTGAAATGAATCCAAAATATAAATATTTATTGACATTAAATTACATAATTCATTTACTTCTTGCTTTCTAAAAATAATTTATTGCATAGATAATAAAATTTACATTATTATATTTTAATACAAGTATTAAAATATAATATGCACCATATAGTGTGTGTGTGTGTATGTGGTGCATATTATTCTAAAAATAATAATCTCATACATACTACTATTGTAATATTAAGAAAACTTCTCATGAGTCATGACTCACGAACACCCTCCTTGATGGACAAAAATTACAATTCAATAATCGATTCATAAGATTGAACAATATAGAAGTTATTAAAAATGTATTGGTTGATGTCTTTGTCATCGTCTAAACTTAGAATGTAATAAATTTAAATGTCGTTGGGGATATGTATGTATTAATGTCATTTTTTAATAAAAATTGTCGCACAGCCCCTACAGTAGTGGAAAAAATTTGCCCCGCTACACTAGGGGGGAAAAAATCGTCCCACTACACTAACGAAAAAAATTTCACCCAAATTTCGCCCCCCTTGACCCAAAATGCTGGATGGATCCGTCCCTGCTTTCTTGTCTAACGGGTAGTACTACTCGTCTAAGGAAGCTAATCTGTTAAATAAACAGGGAAGGGCACGTTTCGGCCGTCAGGGAACGACATAACTACTAAACATCCCTAAAGCAATTTCCTACAAACACTAGATCTAAACCTTAGGGAAGCAAAATATGAAAGAAAAACGAAGAACAAGTGATGAACTGGACCTTTGAAGACTTGAAGAAACTTGAAGAACTCTTGAAGAACTGGAATGCTTTATCTCTCTAAAAGGTTGGGCAGCACATCATTACTTTGCATAGAAACAATGAGGGGAATGCTCGGAAAAGGTGTACTTATAGCAACCCTCCCCAACTGTCGCTACATGTGGCATGTCCGTAGTGGCTACACCAATGTTCGCCTCCATCACAACCAACCAGAAACCAACTGTTCAACTTCTCAACCAGCTGCACCTACTCCGGCCAAAACAACTGCAAACAATGGGCCAAGCAATGGCTACATCACAAGCAATTGATTCAGCGGCCAAACTTGGCACTTCATTGTCCCCAAATCAGGGTAAGATAAAACCCAAAGCCCTCGGCCCCCTCGCACAGAACCCGTCGATGGTAGCCTTTAATCGGTGACCTTCGTCCAGGGGTTCTCCCACAAGGTTACCTTGGTCAGGGGTCGTCAGGAGGTTGGATTCATGAGGAATGCGAGGATCTCACTTTGGCCTAGGACACTCTCTTATCCTTCATGCCTAGTGGGGGACTGAGGGACTACATCGGCCACAAACTACATCCGCCACTCTTCGGCACGAAGGGGTGGGGCACTGGGGGCTACATCGGCCACAAACTCCAAAAAGGCAACACAAAACACTTTGGCCTCAATACTAAAAACAGTATGTCATTGATACTGCATCGTCCTCATAATAGTGACATTCATCGTCCACCAAAAGCAAAAGCAAAGGACACACATCCACTTCAAAGCAGTAACAAGCATTAGCCAACAAACATCAAAACAACAATGACTTACTTCCTTTCACTTCGCCCACATCTCAGCTCAGAGAGTAGGGACTCCTGATAGAGAATATGGGCCCACACCCTATGACCCACATACTCAAGGAATCAAATACAAAGACAGTTGACAACCACATGGTCCTCCATCGGCCAAACTTATTGGATCTTAGAATGTAGCCCAAAAGCCCAGGAGCAAGAGATTGGCTCTCCATTAGTTAGCCCCCCTATCGCACAACAAGGTTCCAGCAGACTAGATTTTATACTTAGTTTATAAATTGTGTACTAAGTCAATTATAGCCCTTATTTTGTATCGGGCCTCCCAATCCCAAGTCTTGGGAGCCCAAACCCACATTTTCCCCTATAAATACTCCCCTTGGAGGTAGTTGTAAGGGTTGAGAAATATTAATTGTTCACTTTCTCTCTCTAGCTCTCACTTCTCTCTAGATTAATACTCATCAATTTTATTTTGGTGGACAAGAATCAGACTGCTAATTCACTCCTTGTGGCTAACTAATAAAAAAAAGTTCGCATAGAATTGCAAGTCTGCAATGAACAAAAATTAAAATTAATAGTCGCCGCTGTGAGATTTTGATTGTCTTAAAACCCCCCATCTTAGTGAATTGGATAAACTTCCATCTTGGTTAGTGTGATTCCCTAACTATTACATATTGATGTAGAGTGAAATATGATTCTAAATTGCTATTATTCTCTGTTATGACATATTCTCTGTTACTAATATTAATGGTATATAAAAATTTATTTATTGTAGCTTAAAATCATTACATACTCTAGTACTCCATTTGTAATGTTTAACATTAACTACTTTGATGCAGTAAGGTACATCGACAAACATGTCTACAGAAGCGATCTCTATTCGAGTAAATCTATGCACCTCAAGTGATGCAATTGGTGAAAGTAATGAGCAGCAACAACAAAGTGAACCGTTTGAATTGGGAGAACCAAATATAGGTAGTCAAGAAAGATCACAAAATGTTAAGTTGAAGAAGAAGACGAGTTTCAGATTAAAAAAAAAAAAGAACTCCGATGTGTGGAGTGTTTTTAAAGTGATAACATTAAATTGAGTTAGCAAGGTGAAATGCACCCATTGTTCAAGCAATTTTGTATGATCTAAAAAAGGAACCACAACAAGCTATAAGAGGCATCAAATGAACTGTGTGAAGACAAACATAATCTAAGGGTAAGTCTCCACATGTATTATGGGGTTATAATTAGTCTCCACATAATCTAATTAGTTACAACTTCTTTATAACTAGTTCATTAATGGATTATTAGCTGAATATAACCTCAACTATCATCAAATTCACAAATCTATCCCATACTTTCACTTTTATTAAAAAAAGACTCAAACTTCAACCTTTCTCACTATTACACTTTCAATGGATGAATTCGTAAAACTCAAGAAGAAAATCATATGTATATTTCACATGCTTTCACTTCTTTCTAGGTTTAAATTTACAAACAAGTATTGCTTGTATGTTATTGGTATTGATAAAAATGTGTGATTTTGAAAAGAAAAAAATAAAAACATAATTGTTGAAAAAGATGAAGTTTGAACCTTTTTTAAATAAAAGTCAAAGAATGGGATAGATTTGTGAATTTGAAGATAGTTTGGGATAAAATAAGCTAATAATCCTTAATTAATTTCTTCTCAACTAGTTAATCTTTTTTGTCAGATTAACTGTCAGGTTCATGTGATCTGACCCCTTTATCAATTCAATATTAACCACATAAACTCATTTGTCTTGATAACCGTATCACCTCTTTTTGTACCAATGTCGAGGGACAGATGTAGTATTTATTAAAATATTTTTTACATATGAAAAAATCAATAAAACCATTACCATTACAAAACTATCAAAACACGCTTATCGAGCAAATTTATAATAAAGCAGTGACAAAATTTATGAAATCAAAACTTTTAAAACTTATGTGTTGAACAATGAGCACTACTCCATGATTTAAAATCATGAACAATTAAGAGATCATATGTTTAAAAAAATGTCATATACTTATCATACAATTATTGATTATAAAACATGCAATTCTCATGATAAGAATATTATTATACACTAAAGATGCAAGAACTTGGGTACTAAACTATTAATCAATGGGTACGTGATCCAACATGGGTACTAAACTATTAATCAATGATTCAGACATGATCCAACGTGGTTAACCATTGTTTTAAAACCGTATGCAGAAGGTACAATTTCAAGGACAAAACTCGGCTTCAATTAGCATATGCTTTCTATGGGGATATCCCA